GGAAAACAAGGGGGTCTGTTTGCAATTCCTGCAGCTAATTCAAACAGCATTCCTCACCCAAAGGGGGAAAGGGCCCCGGGAGCAAATGGGAAAGGAGCATTTCCCAACATGCACAGAATGCTGCTCCTTGGGGACAGGGGAATGTGCAGGCTGCAGGGATGGGGTGTCAGGAGATGTGCCAGGGTCTGGAGAGGGGTCTGAACAGTGAGGTGGGGCACACAGGAGATACCCTGGTCACACAGGAGCTGCCTTGGGGCACACAGGAGCTGCCCTGGGCACACAGGAGATACCCTGGGCACACAGGAGATTCCCTGGGCACAAAGGAGCTGCTCTGTTGATGTTCAGGTGTTATAAACAACTGCCTGGGTTGTCACTCACCCTGCAGCAGAGAAACCTCAGAGCAGCAGAACCCTCAGAGAACCCCCAGTGAACCCTCAGAGAACCCTCAGAATCCTCAGAGAACCCTTAGAGAACTCTCAGAACCCTCAGAGAACCCTCAGAATCCTCAGAGAACCATTAGAGAACTCTCAGAACCCTCAGAGAACCCTCAGAACTCTCAGAGAACCCTCAGAGAACCCCCAGTGAACCCTCAGAGAACCCTCAGAGCACCCTCAGAACCCTCAGAGAACCCTCAGAACCCTCAGAGAACCATCAGAACCCTCAGAACCCTCAGAGAACCCTCAGAATCCTCAGAGAACCCTCAGAGAACCCTCAGAGTACCCTCAGAACCCTCAGAGCACCCTCAGAATCCTCAGAGAACCCTCAGAGAACCCTCAGAATCCTCAGACAACACTCAGAGAACCCTCAGAGCAGCAGAACCCTCAGGGAACCCTCAGAGCAGCAGCCAGAAAAGAGCTCATGTCCACTCTGGGAGTGTCACAGACACTTCAGGATGTGCTCACTTTCCTTCTGCTTTCTCTGTGAGTGCCTTTTCTGCTTTTTGCTTGTGCTGAGATATGATCAGAGGCTGCTGAGGCACCAGGGATGAGTGAAGCACCTTCTGTGCCAGCTGGGAGTTTGTGGGCACTGCTGGGTTCATGTGGGTCTGAAAGCAGCTGTGGGGCAGAGCTGGGTACAGGCACAGCCCCTCTGTCCTCAGCTGCACCAGAGCAGGGACAGGGCTCCTGCAGCCCCTGGGCAGGGCCACCTTCCATGGAGACACCTTTGAGAGAGGCAGAGGGGTTTGCAAAGCAGGAAATGTAGAGGGATGAAATTAGAACAAAATATTGCAGGTTTTTAAAGTCCTGACACTCAGAACATCCCTCTGTCTGTCCTGAGCAGCCAAGACCCCTGCCAGAGGGGGTTCAGAGACCCAAAAATGCCCCTGTGGTTTTGATTATGACCCATGGAGAAAATTACCAATGTTATATGAGGATCTGCAAGCCATGACACATAGTGAATTTATCACAGGGTGAAAAATAGATTTTTGGGGTTTTTAGAATGGGGGTTCAGGGGGCAAGATGGAGGAATCTGGGCATGTTCAGCCTTTCTCCTTCTTGGCCTCCATCTTCTGCTGTGATGGTGGCACTTTTAGGTTGGTTTAGAGTAGAAGCTCACTGTCTAACATAGGTGATGGGTATTGGGAAGTTATTGTACATAATGTACAGGTAGTTCATAGTATAAAAAACTAACACCACCCCAAGGGCTGGAAACAATTACCAGCTTTGTGTGAGGAGTTACAAGCCACAAGAGTTTGAATGGAATGATAGTGAATTAATCACTATCACAGGGTGAAAATGTAGAATTTTGGGGTTTTTAGAATGGGGGTTCAGGGGGCAAGATGGAGGAATCTGGGCATATCCAGCCTTTCTGCTTCTTCTTCTTCTTGGCCTCCATCTTCCCATCTTCTGCTGTGATGGTGGCACTTTTGGATTGGTTTAGAGCAGAAGCTCACTGTCTAACATGGGTTATGGATATTGGGAATTAATTGTAAATATTGTAAATGTAGGTTTTAGTATAAAAAGATAACACCAGAGTGCCTCTGCCTGACCTGCTGAACGGACCTTGGTAGGACAGGAGAAAGAATTTTATAGATAAGAAACAATAAACAACATTGAGACCGAGAACTGAAGAGTTCTCACTCCTTCTTCAAGCACCAGGCCGGGAAAAGAGACTTTAAAATATTTTGGGGTCACTGTGAGCAGCAGAGACCCCAACAGTAGAGGAGAAGCATGTCCTTTAAGGTGGGCTGGGGGATGTGGGGGCGTTGGCACTCCCTGTGCAGAAGCAGAGTGGGGTTGTCCCCTCAGAGCCACTGTGCCATGTCCCAGCCAGAGGAGCCTGGAGAATCTGCTGTGGGTGTGAATGAACCCTCTGCTTTCCATCTGGAGCAGCTTGGCCTCTTCTCCTGCTAAAACAGGGGATTTCATGTCCTTTTGTACTGGAGAGAAACAACCTGTTTGGGATTAATTTGGGATCAGCCTCAAGAGCCATTAGCTACATAAAACCAAAGCTGCAAATGAGCTCCTGTCAGAGGGGGAGGAAATGCAAGACTTGGTGCTGGGTTTATTGAGCAGGTTTTAGTGTGATTTACACTAAAATTGCAGATGTGTCTGCAATGACACCTCTGGAGCTGTGAGTGTGTCCCCTTGCCTCCAGCCAGCCCCACTGCTGTGCTCTAGCCCTGCTGCTGCATCTGGGGCTGTCAGCACTGCCAGGTTTATTTTATTTTTATATCACAAAATTTGGGTTTATCTCTCACTTGGAAACTTGATCTACAGCTGTCAGCTAAGCCTGCACCACTCCAGTATCAGAAAGGAGGTCTGATATGTGCATGAAATACACATTGGGTTCATCAGATTTTTTACTCATCATGCAGATTTTGGGTTCTGTACTCATCATACAGATTTTGGGTTCATCAGATTTTTTTTTATACAAAATACAGATTTTGGGTTCATCAGAATTTTCACTCATCCAGTCAATGGAGTGACGTTGTCCCTGACAACATTTGATGGCACTTGAGAATTTCCTACAATAGAAAGTTTAAAAAAATCTCTAAACAGAAATAGAAAAAGGTCTTGGATGTGGAGATTTGCAGCAGTGGCTGCTCAGCAGCTGCCAACAAGCAGCACAAATTCACCACACTCCTGTGGGACAGCAAAGGTCTCAGGGACATCATTTACAAATAAAAAACCATTTAATGAGGTGCCAAGGAGAGTTCAGGATGAATAAAACATCCCCGTGCATGAGCACTAACACACACAGCACAAAGGGAAAGCTGCAGGAAGGGTGAGTGTCCCCTCCTGCCCGAGTTTGGGTTGTTTTGCACCTCTGTGCTCACAAAGCTCTGTGTGAGGAATTGATGAGGATCTCTGGGTCTTGGTGCCCTGTTCTGTGCCCACACCCCTGCCCTCCTCTTCCTCAGGGCTGTCAGCTCCATCCTGAGGCACTGAGCACTCCAGGGCTGGTGCCAGCAGCTCTCAGGCACACTCAGGGACCTCTCTGCAGTGGGGGCTCATGAACAGCAGAGCATTGAAGGGGAACTGCCCTGGCCAAGCAGGGCACCCAGGAGGGCTCCAGGAGCCTCCCCAGGGCTCCTCACACCCTTTGGAAGATCTCAGAGCCCTGCCAGCCTGGGGAGCCTCCCCAGGACTGCCAGGGTCCCAGGGGTTGCTGGGCAGCTGGGCACACACCCTGGCACAGCTCTGCAGGGACCAGGGCTCTGGGCAGCACAGAACCAGGGATGAGGGTCACTCATGGCTGCTGGCCCTTGGGGGGCTGGTGGCCACCAGCTCCTCTGTGTGGCTTGAACAGGAGCACTGGGGCTTGTACAGGAGCACTGGCCAGGGCTCCTGGGAGCACCTGAGCCCCTGTGCAGGATCTGCTCACCCCAGCAGCCATGGTGGAGCTCAGGGAAGGTTCCTGAGTCCCTGTGCTGATCTGCTCACCCCAGCAGCCATGGTGGGGCTCAAGGAAGGTGCCTGAGAACCCTGAGCAGGATCTGTCACCCCAGCACACATGGTGGGGCTCAGGTGCAGGATCTGCTCACCCCAGCAGGCATGGTGGGGCTCAGACACATTCCTTGAGTCCCTGTGCAGGATCTGCTCACCCTAACAGCCATGGTGGGGCTCAGGGAAGGTGCCTGAGACCCTGTGCAGGATCTGCTTACCCCAGTAGGCATGGTGGGGTTCCAGGGAACACCTGAACCCCTGTGCAGGATTTGCTCACCCCAGCAGGCACGGTGGGGTTCCAGGGAACATCTGAGCAGGATCTGCTCAGCCCAGCAGGCACAGTGGGGCTCAGACACCTTCCCTGAGCCCCTGTGCAGGATCTGTCACCCCAGCAGCCATGGTGGGGCTCAGGGGAGGTGCCTGAGCTCCTGAGTAGGATCTGCTCACCCCAGCAGGGATGATGGGACTCAGACACCATCCCTGAGCCCCTGTGCAGGATCTGCTCACTCCTGTGCTGATCTGCTCACCCCAGCAGCCATGGTGGGGCTCAGGGAAGGTGCCTGAGCACTGACATCCCCTGTCCCCTGCCCAGAGCAGGCTCTGCCATGTGCTCACCCTGCTGGAGGAGGCACAGGGAGCTGAGGGCACAGGGAGCAGAGCTCCCAGGCTGCTCAGGGGTGCTGCAGGGCAGATATCCCAGACAGTCCCATGCTGCTCTCCTGAGCAGGAGTGTTTCCTCAGCAGTGGAAAAACAACCAGGCTCTGAGCTCTTTGCCTTCATGCCTTCCCCCCCTCCAGAGGATAATAAGCTGCTTTTAATATCTGACATGTTTATTAACAGATGCAGTTGTGACAGCTGATGACTTCATACACCACTTACCACTGAAATGTTAGTAATAACTCAGAATTAGCTGTCATAAATTAAAAAAAAAAAAAAAAAAAGACTACAAAGACAACTGGATGGTGTGTCACTCTGCAGTAATTCACTGAGACCCTGCTGGCTCTGGAAAGTCCTTTGTGGAGCTCCAGTCCGGGTTTTGCAACAGCCACACAATATTTTGGCTGGATATTGTCTGAGGAGGTGGTACCAGTGGGGTGGAATTCCCTCATGCAGGAGTTTGCACTGGATGCCTTTACAAAGCTGCATAGTCTGGTAATAATAATAGTAATAATAATAGTAATAATAAAGCCTCCTGGCTGGTGGATGGGATGGAGTCGTCGGATTGAGAGCAGCATTTATGGACGTGCAAATTGCTCTGAGGTGATCACAAACTTTCTGCTTTGCAGCGTGGGCTGAGGGAGCAGGAGCCAGCCCGAGCTGGGATCCCGCACATCGCAGGAGGGTTTTGTTCCTCTGTGCCAAACCCGGGACCCCCTCAGGAACCTGCCTCAAAAACCGAGCCACCAAAACCTCCACACGCACCCGGCTTCTCCATGGACTCGCCATGAATCTATTTTTCGTTTTTTTTGACAGAAACGTGCGCGTAACTTTCTCTGGAGGAACTGAGGAATTTTTTAGTTGTTCTCGTAGCGTTTTAAAGCTGAGAACGCAGTAGAGTCTTTCCCGCAGGGATGAGGGAGTGACAAGCTGAAGGTAAGGGCTTCAAGCATGCATGTTTGTGTGGATGGAGCTTTTGCAACGCGGGGCTGCTAATGAAGAGCCCGAGAGCCGTGTCAGCATCTGCCCGCGGGCTCGCCTTGTGCAACGTGGATAATGAGCGCAGACAATGAGAGCGGAGCGGGATCACAGCACCATCTGTGGGATCCCCTTCCTCCCTCCCTCCCTTCCCTCCTCTCCCTTCCCCCGAGCTGCTGCGGCTTGCAGGGGAGCTGGGCTGAGCTCTGTGTGTGCCCTGGCACCGTCCGGGCTGGGGACAGGGACACAGGGACAGAGGGACAGAGCTGGACTGATCTCTGTGTGCCCTGGCACTGTGTTAGCATCTGGGCTGGGGACAGGGACACAGGGACAGAGGGACAGAGCTGGACTGATCTCTGTGTGCCCCTGCACTCTGTTACCATCCCAGACTGGGGACAGGGACAGAGCGACAGAGCTGGGCTGATCTCTGTGTCCCCCTGCACTGTGTTACCATCCCAGACTGGGGACAGGGACAGAGGGACAGAGCTGGGCTGATCTCTGTCTGTCCTAGCTGCTCTCTGTGTCCCCTGGCACTGTGTTCCCATCCTGGGCTGGGACAGAGGGACAGGAACACAGGGACAGGGGGACAGAGCTGGGCTGATCTCTGTGTGTGCCCTGGCACAGTGTTAGCATCATGGGCTGGGGACAGAGGGACAGAGCGGGGCAGCTCTCTGTGTCCCCTAGCTGCTCTCTGTGTCCCCTGGCACTGTATTACCATCCCAAACTGGGGACAGGGACAGAGCTGGGATGTTGATCAGCCGCCTGGAGCTCCTGGCTGGTTCTGTTCCAGCTGTGGGTCCAGCTGTGCCCTCTGCCCTTGCCCTGGTGCCAGGCACGGGGGCAATGGGAGGATAAGCAGCAATTTGCTGCTGGCTCAGCCCTAAGGCAAGGCTGCTGCCAGGCACCCATGGGGGCATGGGGTAGGAACAGCTCTGTGCAGCTGGAATGGGGGATCCGTGGGGAGAGAATTAATAATGGGGATGATGGCAGTAATTAGAGCGGTGTGAGCTGGTGCTGACATGCAGGGAAGTGCTGCTGGATTCAGTGAGGGCTCCTGCAGCTCGGCTGGGGCTCAGCTCCCCAAGGGTCAGGGTGGCTTCAGCCTTGGTGCTGATGGAGCCAGGAGTTGTGAGATGTGGCTGGGGGTCACTTGATTGGAGTATTTTATAGTCTCAGGCATGTGTGCTCCCCTGAACGGTGGGGTTTGGGTTTAATGAGGCACTTACAGTGAAAGGCATTAAAATAGGGTAATACAGGCAATAATCCAGGCAGACAAAGGGCATGACATGACTTTGGAAACATAAATGATCTTCTTCTGAGCTCCCTTGTCACTCTGAAGTCTCCCAACATCCCCCAGCTTTCATTTGACTTTCTTTCTCTAGTTTTTCTAGCCTTTCTTTCCTAGTCCATGTGTGCACGTGTGGAGCCTCCACTCTGCTGCGCAGGGGTCAGCAGTACCCACACACAAAAATGTCACCTGGAGGTCTGGGAGCTTACAATGCTGGGGTGGCCAGATCTGTCCTGAGATCTGCCAGGGACTGAATGCAGTGGAGCCTCTTTTTGGAGGGTTCTCCACTCACAATGATTTTGTCTGAGCTCAGAGTGGGTGAAGCCCTGACTCCATCCCTCACTCCGCTGTGGGGCCAGGGCTGCACAGGCTGGAGGGGAGGATGGCAGTAATGTCAGTGCTGTAACACGCCTGGAAACCACCCTGGAATAAAGGATCGAGCTGGATCAGCTCCCCCAGCCCTGCGCGGCCGCTGCGAGAGCAGCAGCACCACCCTGAGGGACGAGGCAGGGAGGAGCCGGGAGCGGGGACACGCTCGGGAATGCGGGTCAGGGATGCCATGAGCACGGCCAAGAGCTCTGGAGATTCAGGGCAGTGATGCCAAAAGCTCTGGAAATGCAGGGATGCCCTGAGCACTGCTGAAAGATCTGGAAGTGCAGGGAGGCTCTAAGCACAGCCAAAAGCTCTGGAAATGCAGGGCAGGAATGCCCTGAGCATGGTCAAGAGCTCTGGAAATGCAGGGATACCCTGGGCATGGCAAAAGCTGTGGAGATGCAGGGCAGGGATGCTCTGACCACAGCCAAAACCTCTGCAGATGCCCTGAGCATGGCCAAGAGCTCTGCAGATTCAGGGACACCCTGGACACTGCCAAAAGCTCTAGAAATGCAGGGCAGGGATGCCCTGAGCTCAGCCAAGAGCTCTGCAGATGCAGGGATGCCCTGAGCACAGCCAAAAGCTCTGGAAATGCAGGACAGTGATGCCAAAGGCTCTGGAAATGCAGTGCAGTGCTGCCAAGAGCTCTGCAGATGCAGGCAGGGATGTCCTGAGCACTGCCAAGCCCAGCTGGCTGTGCCACCGTGTGCAGGCTTGCTGCTCCCACAGCTGCAGCCAGACCCCAAACACAGAGCAGTACCCAACACACACAGGTTTGGTGCTCCTAGAGATCCCAAACACAGATCTGTGCCCGCCAGGGTGATCCCAGTGCAGCTCCAGCTGCTGCTCTGGTTCTGTGGAGGAGCAGCAGGCACAGATCCTGCAGCCTGCCTGCCTCAGGGCTCTCCTTGTGCAGAGCAGCCTGTGTGCTGGCATGAGGGCCACGGGAATCCCCCTGTAAAACATTTCCTGATGTTTTACAGGGCTGGAGCTCTCTGCTCCTGGAGGGAGGCCTGTGGCACTGGGGTTGTTTTGGAGCAGCTACTGTGGGGCAGCCCAAAGCTGCCAGATCGGGCTTTTATTTTTATTTTTTTTTCAGCGAAGTTTATGGTTTTTTTGTATAATAGTTTTGTTCATCATCTGTTGCACACACTGAAGTATGCAAGGTATTACTACTAATATAATTACTAAAACACTTAACACACATAGAGTTATCTTGCAAAGGTTTTTTAAAGTTCTATTTTTGGAACAAATCATTGGGATGAGGTTTTTTTTTGAGCAGCTACTGTGGGGCACATTTGGGCTTTTATTTTTGGGGCTTGGGGCACTCATTGGGGCACTTATTGGGCTTTTATTTTACTGGGGGGCACTTATTGGGCACTTGGGCTTTTATTATTTTTATTTTTTTCAGTGAAGTTTATGGGGTTTTTTGTATGATAAAAACTTTTTTAATAGTTTTGTTCATCATTTGTTGCCCATACTGAAGGATGCAAGGTATTACTGCTAATATAATTATATAATTATATATATTACTACTAATATAATTATATAATTATATATATATATATATTTGTATCACATATAGACTTATCTTGAAAAGTTTTTTTGGCTAAGGTGTGAAGTTTTATTTTTGGAATAAATCATTTGGGTGGGCTTTTTTGGAGCACAAGCAGCAGCCCCTCCTCAGTGTCACAGCACAGGGAATGCAGTGCAGAAGCTGCTGGAGGAAGTCAGACCTCAACAAAGCCGTGGATAGCTCTGCTGCCAGATTGGGCTTTTATTATTTTTGTTTTTATTTTTTTCAGTGAAGTTTATGGGTTGGGGATTTCGCAGGACTTGGCGCTGGGATCTGATATCAAATGAGGACCTTCTGGTTCAGAAATTGGACTTAATGCAGCCCTCTTTTATTGCCTCAAGGATCAGGCAGAACAAAGTGGCTCTGCCTGTGCCTGTGCATGTGCTGTTTGCCAGAGGCACGTGAGACACCCTGTGGTGGCTGGGATGGCTGAGCCAGGCCTGGTGGGACCTTGCACTGCTGAGGGACTCACAGAGCTGCTCCTGGAGCACCAGGCCTGCTGATGGACAAAGAGAATGAGGCCCCAAAGCTGCTCCCTCAGCCCTTCCCTGCCATGGTGGGGCTGGTGGAGCAGGCAGGGAGCTCTGCCATGGGGTCACCAGCACAGGGAACAGGGCACAGGGCACAGGCAGAGCAGGGAGAGGACTCAGGGAGCACCAGGGCACATCCCTGGGTGCTATGGAACAGGGATAACTAGGGATAACCAGGGATAACCAGCTGCCATCTCTGGTGGTTGAGGAGCCTGTTGAAAGCTCCACAAAGGCAGGCTGGGGAGTGAGCAGTGTGGAGCTGCTGCTGCCACCCACAACCTTCCAGAGCTGGAGTCTGCCCTGGGGTTGAGAGGGTTTGGGATGGTGTGTCCTGGGGCTAGAAGGCTTTGGGGTGGTGTGAGCTGGGTGTTGTAGGCCTCAGGGTGGTGTGTCCTAGGTTGGGAGGCCTCAGGGTGGTGTGTCCTGGGTGTTGGAGGCATTGGGATAGCGTGTCCTGGGGCTGGGAGGATTTGGGGTGGTGTGTGCTGGGTGTTGGAGGCTTTGGGGTGGTGTGTCCTCGGCTGGGAGGCCTCAGGGTGGTGTGTCCTGGGTGCTGGAGGCCTCAGGGTGCTGTGTCTTGGGGCTGGAGGCTTTGGGGTGGCATCTCCTGGGCTGGGAGCCCTCAGGATGGTGTGTCCTGGGTGCTAGAGGCCTCAGAGTGGTGTGTCCTGGGTGCTGGAGGCCTTGGGATAGTGTGTCCTGGGGCTAGAAGGCTTTGGAATGGTGTGTCCTGGTGCTGGGAGGCTTTGGGGTGATGTGTCCTGAATGTTAGAGGCCTCAGAGTGGTGTGTCCTGGGTTTTGGAGGCCTCATGATGGTGTGTCCTGGGCCTAGGAGGCCTCAGGATGGTGTGTGCTGGGTGTTGGAGGCCTCAGGATGGTGAGTGCTGGGCCTAGGAGGCCTCAGGGTAGTGAGTCCTGTCCCCTGGTGTAGGACTGGAAGATGTGGGATCAAACAACCCCTGAAAAAAACTGACTCCTCCTGCATGAAGCCACTCTGAGCACATTCACACAGAGGAAATTCAAATTCTCCATGCAGCTCCTGCAAACCCAAATTCCCCAGCTCACAGCTGGACCCTTGGCAGCTCCCAGGGGTTCATTCCTGCTCTAACCAGGTCTGTCCTGACTCCAGCATCTGGTCCTTCTCTGCAAGGCTCAGTAAACCTTTGGAGAGCCTGTTTACATTTGGGATCC